ATTTTAATACAAAATACAGATACAGTACAGAAACGAACATTGCAGAGAAAAATTTCTAAAGTAGCTGATTTGAATCATGTGAAATTGAATCTGGTTCATAAAGTTATTGAATTGCTTGGAGACTCGTTTTTAGTGTGTGATTAATAAAGTGATGCCCACATAGGATTTGCAAATATTAAATACTATGACTAAAATAATGAATTCCTTAATTTTTCCTGTAAACCGTTGGGGGAAAAAGAACTTTATTTGTTTGGGGGAAGAAAGGAAGCAGCAGCTCTTTCTTAGTGTAACATCAATAATTTTCAAGGTCCAATTAACATTTCACTAGAAAATTGCTTTCCTTCCTCACTCTTGCCCTTTCTGATAATAATAATCCTAGGTGTTCTTTACTGAATACTCACTATGCTCTTGGGAATATGTCAAGTCATTCATAGACCTATGAAACTTAATTTTGACAACAGTTCATGAGGTAAATGTAACTAGTTTCACTTAACAGATGAGACTGAAACAAGTAAGTTAAGCAACTTGACCAGGTCACATGTCTATTAATTAATTCAAAGCCAGAACTGCCGGGTTATAAATCTGCTAACCTGTAATCCTGTATGTGAATCTATCTTTAAAAATATTTCATTCTGTCTTTTAACTTTTAATTTCAGGGGTACATGTGCAAGTTTATCCTATAGAGAAATTACCTGTAGTGAGGGTTTGGGTGTATATATTATTTTGTCACCTAGGTAATAAGTATAGTACCCAATTGGTAGTTTTTTTTTGTTTTGCTTTTTGAGACGGGGTCTTACTCTGTTGTCCAGGCTAGAATGCAGTGGTGCAATCTCAGCTCACTACAACCTCTGCCTCCTGGAGTCAAATGATCCTCCCACCTCAGCCTCTGGTGTAGCTGGGACAACAAACACATGTCACCTCATTTGGCTAATATTTTTGGTATTTTTTTTAGATGGGGTTTTGTCTTGTTGCCCAGGCTGGTCTTAAACTCCTGGACTTAAGTGATCCTCCTGTCTCAGCCTCCCAACGTGCTAGGATTACAGGCATGAGCCACCATGCTTGGCCAATAGGTAGTGTTTTGATCCTTGCCTTTTTCCCACTCTCCACCCTCAAATAGTCCGCGATGTCTATTGTTCCCTTCTTTATGTCCATGTGTACTTAACATTTAGCTCCTATTTGTAAGTGAGAACATGTGGCATTTGGTTTTCTTTTCCTGTGTTAATTCACTTGGGATAATGGCCTCCAACTCTATCTATTTTGCTGCAAAGGACATAATACAATTCTTTTTTATGTCTGTGTAGTATTCCATGGTGTATATGTACCGCATTTCCAGTCTACTGCTGAAGGGCATTTGGGTTGATTCCATGCCTTTGGTATCGTGAATAGTACTGTAATGAACATATGCATGTATATGTCTTTACGGTAGAGTGATTTATATTCCTTTGGGCAAATATCCAATGATGGTATTGTTGGGTTGAATGGTAGTTCTAAGTTCTTTGAGAAATTGCCCATCTGCCTTCTGCAGTGGCTAAACTGATTTACATTCCTACCAGCAGTGGGAGCTTTTTAATAATAGCTCTCTGAATGGTATGAGATGGTATCTCACTGTGGTTTCAATTAATATTTCCTTTAATGATCAGTGATGTTGAACAGTTTTTCATATGCTTGTTGGTTACATATATGTCTTCTTCAGAAAAGTGTCTGCTCATGTCCTTTGCCCACTTTGTAACAGGGTTGCTTGTTTACTGCTTGCTACTTTAAATTTCTTACAGATTCTGGATATTAGATCTTTGTCAGATGCATAGTTCACAAATATATTCTCCCATTCTGTGAGTTGTCTGTTTACTCTGTTGGCAATTTCTTTTGCTGTGCAGAAGCTCTTTAGTCTAATCAGGTCCCATTTGTCAATTTTTGTTCTTGTTGCAACTGCTTTTCCTGTCTTCCTCATGAAATCTTTGCCAGGGCCTATGTCTAGAATGGAATTTCTAGATTTCTTCAAGAGTTTTTGTAGTTTTGGGTTTTAAACTTAAGTCTTTAATCCATCTTGAGTTGATTTTTGTGTATGGTATAACATAAAGAAGGGGTCCAGTTTCAATCCTCTGCATATGGCTAGCCAGTTATCCTGGCACCATTTATTGAATACAGAGTCCTTTCCCCATTGCTTTTGTCAACTTTGTTGAAGACTGGATGGTTGTAGGCGTGCAGCTTTATTTCTGAGTTTGTCTATTCTGTTCCATTGGTCTATGGGTCTATTTTTGTCCAGTATTTTTGGTATACTGTTTTTGCATCAGTATTATGCTGTTTTGGTTAATATTACTGTAGCCTTCTAGTATAGTTTGAAGTCAGGCAACACTATGCCACCAGCTTTGTTCGTTTTGCTTAGGATTGCTTTGGCTATTCGGGCTCTTTTTTGGTTTCATATAAATTTTAGAATTTCTTTTTCTAATTCTTTGAAGAATGTCTTTGGTAGTTTGATAGAAATAGCTTTGAATCTGTACGTTGTTCTGGGCCGTATGATCATTTTAACAATATTGATTCTTCTTATCCATAAGCATGGAATGTTTTTCCATTTGTTTGTGTGAATCCATCTTTTTTTTTCCTTTTTACCTCAGTTTTCTGTGGAAGTGTGACTCCACCTTTGTACTTCGTTTCATCTGCGAAGGTTACAAATGAGTGGACAATGACAGAGGAGGATAATAAGTCCTTTCCCAGAGTGTTCCCGAACAAGAGGTGACGCTCAAACTACACTTCTAACAGGACATCCAAGTTAGTTTTCTTCAATAACGATAACAGTATTCTGAGGCACAATTATAGCAATTTGTATAGTCAAATAAACTACTTCTCCAAGAAGATACACTTCATTTCAAGCGCCAGCTAGAGTATTGAGAGAAGAGTTCAACATTAAATAGTTTTTTTTTTTGAGGCAGAGTCTTGTTTCGTCACCAGGCGCCAGGCTGGAGTGCAGTGGCGCAATCTCGGCTCACTGCAACCTCCGCCTCCCAGGTTCAAGCAATTCTCCTGCCTCAGCCTCCTGAGTAGCTGGGACTACAGACGTGCACCACCACGCCCAGCTAATTTTTGTACCACCACGCCCAGCTAATTTTTGTACCACCATACCCAGCTAATTTTTGTATTTTTAGTAGAGACACGGTTTCACCCTGTTGGCCAGGCACATTAAATGGTTTAAATCATTAAGTTATTATTTGGAAATGCTTGAGATCATAGTTTTTTTTGAGTACAGATTTTTACATTTTATTTTTCATTCGTTTACTTATTCAGTGGGTATCCACTAGTTACCTACTATGTGCTAGGTGCTCTTCTAGGCATTTGAGATATAGCAGAGGACATAGCAGACAAAAAAAGCAAACAAACCCTGTCCTAAGGGAAAAATAATAATAAAAAGGAAAACAGAAATTTTGAGGGAAAAAAAACACTGAGAAACAACAATAACAACAAAGAAAATCCCTGACCTTACAGAGTTTACATCGCAGTGGAGGAAGATAGGCAAAGAAATATGTGTTAGAGGATGCTAAGTGATATGAAATAGAGATAATGAGCAAGTGGTAAAGAGAGGTGAAGGCTGGTGTTTAGATACAGAGAGATGAGGGCTGATGTTCCTGGGTCAAGGAGAAATTCTCTGAGATACTACCTTAAAGTGGAGGCTTGAATGAAATGACTGAGAGAGTAACCATATGAATATCTGAGGGAAGAGCATCCTACAGAAATGAAGAACAAGTGCAGAAGCCCTGAGCTCGATGTATCCTAGAAAGACAAAGAAAAGGCCGGCACAGAGAGAGCAAGGAGTGGTGGTAGACAGGGTCACAGAGGAAGCCCTGCCTAGGCCCTGATAGACACAGTGGCTTTTGTCTCGGGAAGGTGGACCGGTTAGGCAGCTAGTGTAATGACTGAAATGAGAAGTAATATAGGGTGGCAGTGGAGGGGATGAGAATTGGTTGGCTACTGGACATATTTAAAAGCTGAATTGACAGGATTTACTGATGGATTGGAATGTAGAGTGTGAGCGATTGGGTGTGAGCCTGATGAAATAGTTGTGTTAAAGTGCAAGTTAACTAACAGGGAAGGCAGGGGGGTGTGGGAAAACCTTCAGAGTCCTCCTCAGGCCTGGTTCTAGTGTATCCAGACCATCTGACCTTGAGGTTAAGTCAATAGGAGTCGCAAAAAACTGACTACTAAGAATAGGATGAAATCCGTGGTGACCCCTCTGCCCAAGTGGGTCTTGTTCCAGGAGGCTGCCAAGCTAAATAGTGCTCGTGGGAAAAGAACAAATATCTCTTCTAAGGATGGATTTCAAGTTTGTTAAGGAGAGGAGTGGAAAGTAAAGGTGTAAGATCAGACTTTCATCAAATATAAGGAAGTTTCAGGGCTGGGGGTATATTGTAGGGCCAAGCCTTAATTTTTCCCTACGTCTTTTCATTTTTTGCTCTCTCTTTCCTTTTTCCTCATTTCCCCACTCCCTCCTTGGTCTAAGTTCTTGCTTGCAGGAAGGTATAGTTTACCTCTGGTTCTCAAACTTCAGGGGGTATCAGAATTCCTTGGGGGGCTTTGAAAACAGATTGGTGGGCCCCAGTCCCAGAGTTTCTAATTGTGTATGTGTGTGTGTGTGTGTGTGTGTGTGTGTGTGTCTGTCTGTATGTGTGTGTGCGCGCGCGCGTGCGCGTGCATGCTGAGATTTTGCATATTTTTTTTCTTTTTATTTGAAGATAGCGTTTTGCTCTTGTCGCCCAAGCTGGAGTGAATGGCACGATCCAGGCTAACTGCAACCTTCGCCTCCCGGCTTCAAGAGATTCTCCTACCTCAGCCTCCTGAGTAGCTGGATTACAGGCGCCTGTCACCACAACCAGCTAATTTTTGTATTTTCAGTAGAGACAGGGTTTCACCATGTTGGCAAGGCTGGTATCGAACTCCTGACCTCGTGATCCGCCCGCTTCGGCTTCCCAAAGTGCTGGGATTACACAGGCGCAAGCCACCGCACCCGGCCGACATCCTCCATTTCTAACAGGCTCCCAGGTAACGCTTGAGAAGAACTGTTGCTTCTTGGACAGGAGCACTTACAAGGCAACGTGATCTTGAGCTTCACCTTGGGGGATGTGAGCGGGGAAAGTTCCAGCTCACAGAGGTTTACAGTCACTTGAGAAAAGGTCCACTTCCTCCAAGGTGTTTCTTGGATGCCCCAAACGGAGGAAAACAAGAAGCGACCGGGCGAGGAGGAGGAGCCGGCGTCCTCCTCGGTGGGGCAGGCGGCCGGGGCTCTCCAGCGGGGCGAGGGCGGGACGACAGCCCCCAGGCCGGCCCACGGATCCGCAGAGGGCGCGGCGGGCCTGGAGGAGGCGCCCCACAAGGCGACGCCTCTCGCCTCTCGCCTCTCAGAGGAAGTTTGCCCTTAATTTCAGAGCCGGGTTCGCAGTCGGATCATCCTCCAGGAGCGAGCAGCGGGCGGGGACCAGAGCGACCAGTCCTCCCGGCGCGGGCTGGGCAATTACCGCGCTCGGCACAGGCGGTTCGCGGCCATGGGCGGGTCGGCCTCCAGCCAGCTGGACGAGGGCAAGTGCGCCTACATCCGAGGTACGCCCGCGCGCCCCCCCAGGTCCTGGGGAGCCCCCGACCCGTGCGCCAGGCTGGTCGCCACGGCCGGGGCCCCAAAGGGCGCGCCTGGGTCCTCTCCCTGCAGCGCTTGGCGACCCCCGACCGCAGCCCGCCCGCGACGGTGTGGACTGGGGACCGGGAGGTCTTGGGAGCCGGGCAGGTGCAGGATGCGGGTGGGGACGCGGCCGCCTGCTCCAGCTCCCGCCGCCCCGGGGTCAGGGCCGCCCCCGCCCGGCGCTCGTCGCCCTCCGGTGCCTGCCCTGGACTGAGTTCTGAGCGGTTTCTGAACTGGCCGCCCAGAGAGCAGCGGGGATATCCCTGGTTTCTAGAGACTCCCCTGGGGATTCCCGGCCGCTAAGGCAGAATTTCCCTCTTAGTAATGTTGGCCTGGCTTTGGAAAGCGCGGGCTTCGCTCGCACTTCCCCGTAGCACTTGCAGGATGATTTCATCAGCGGCAGAAAGGATCCTGTCATGACGTTCCCAGCCCCTGCCTTTCCCTTCCCGCCCCGGAGAGGGGCGAAGCGAAAGAGGAACACTGGTGTGCTTAACGGTCGCGAAGTTATAGATGGGGAGAAACTCGTTTAGGGAGACCTTCAGAGGTGTGCGGACTCAGTAGAGAGCGCGTGGCAGAAAAAACCGAGACCCAAACCGAACTGAACTGCAGGAAGTCCTGACTCGATCTCCCGGGCGTATTTGGCCTCCCCTCTTCCCACCTCCCACCCAACCTTGCCTTCCACCACTACCTAACATTTGGTTATCTTGCCAATTACTGCTCTTCCCCGCCCCGCCCCAAACCTCCACCCTCGGCTTCAGAAATACCTTCTAAACTAGGTATTAGACTCTAGGTCTGTTTGGCCCTTGAATCCTTTCCTAAGAGGACGTCGTTCATTTGGTGTTCTGATTGTGTATTTGTTTTTAGTTACCACAACATTTAAGACCATTTTAAAAGGGTATCAAATCAGGGCACTTGAAGAGCAACGGAGCTGATTTTCCAGATTCCTGCTCTGGTGCTTTTGGAGGTAAAAGATCCTCAACAGCCCGTAGTGTCAGGGGACAACACTTGCTCAAGTATCACTTGCTTTTGTTTGTTAAAAGGGGAAAAGATGGATGATTTATTTATATTAGTAAAAGAGCTGAACTAAGCCTAAAAGAAATGAATGAAGCCTGCCTTAGTCTGAAAAATGTGGTTACATGCTTGTGTTCACCAGTGTGTGGGGACTGAAAGGGCACTCCAGCAGAACATAGTGAGAAAGGGCTTGCATTTGGATGTTAGCAAAGTTGTGTTTACGGTATTTATGTAAGACTTGATTTCACTGGAAAGATTAGGATCACCTGTCGTAGAAGGATGGCCGTCTACACTAACCATTTGAAGTTAAGCAATGTGAAGGATTAACTTGCTTAAGGAAGACTTCCTGGTCATGCCAGTTGTTGCTGTTGATGCAAACACTGTACTCAGATAATAAGAAAAGGTATTACCTTCTTTATTCTGAAAGGCATTAAATTATTACACATACAAAAGCATGTGGGAGTTGGGGCAGGTGAAGAACTTGTAATGCGTGTGTTTGAATGAGTAAAACGATAGCACATGTGACAGTCGTTACATCCCCAGCCTTGTTCAGTTTTCTCTTCATTCTGTATTCAGGAGGGCACTTTGAAGGTATGTGTAGTGGGAGAGGGAAGAGAAGAGTTAATGTTAGAATACCTCCAGAGAACGCCACCTGTAATCCCAGCACTGTGGGAAGCCAAGACGTGGATCACCTGTGGTTGGCAGTTCGAGACCAGCCTGACCAACATGGAGAAATCCTGCCTCTGCTAAAAATACAAAATTAGTTGGGTGTGGTGGCACATGCCTGTAATCCCAGCTACTTGGGTGGCTGAGGCAGGAGAATTGCTTGGACCTGGGAGGAGGAGGTTGCAGTGAGCTGAGATGGCGCCATTGCACTCCAGCCTGGGCACAAGAGTGAAACTCCGTCTCAGAAAACAAAACAAAACACAACCTCCAGAGAAAAAGACTCATCGCTTCATGTGAGAATGGTAGTCTTGCCAAAAGAGAAAAGAGCCTTGGAAAAATGCGTGGTATTGCACATCGTTAGTGCGTGAGCAAATGAGGGTCATGGGCTCTGATTTCCTGATGATTTTGAAGCCCAGTTTCTGAATAAAATCATAGCCCTATCTTTACCTCTTTGCACATCTTTTAGCCTACAAATATTCTCAAGCTTTGATTCAATTGTAAGCAAAACGATTGAAAGTAAGACAGTAAAGTTTAAAAGTACTTTTATGACCTGCTTCTCATAAAGTAGCCGTCAGTGAAATACAGATTTGAAAGCTCCTGAAGCTGAGACAATAACTTTCTTTTAAGCTTGATAAACTTTGCTAGCAAGGAGAGTAGCTAGTCAATATATTTTGAGTGAATTTTGTTCACTTTATGTTGTGTGCATTATAAGCAGCTGTATGCCGCCGACACTGAATCAGCCCTTCCTTTTTGTATTTTGAGATGGAGTCTTTCTCTGTAGCCCAGGCTGGAGTGCAGTGGCACGATCTTGGCTCACTGCAACCTCTGCCTCCCAGGTCCCAGTTCAAGCAGTTCTACCTCAGACTCTCAAGTAGGTCGGATTTCAGGCATGAGCCACCATGCTCAGCTCATTTTTGTATTTTTAGTAGAGACAGGTTTCGCCCTGTTGGCCAGTCTGGTCTTGAACTCCTCACCTCGTGATCCACCCGCCTTGGTCTCCCAAAGTGTTGGGATTACAGGCATGAGCCACTGCTCCCGGCCAGCCTTTACTTTAAGACAAATCATTTAACAGCTGCCATTCCTTGTGTGCCTCAAAACGTCTGTATCATATGGATGTTTCAAAAATACATAGTTTCTTAGGATTTAGTTAATCTCTAGGTAAAGATAAATGAGCTATGTTAAGGAGTTACTTCATTTCTAAAGACGTTGTTAGTTTTGGAAATTACTACAATGTTTATTTTTTTTACAACAGAATAAATTTTTAGGATTGTTTCTAGAGGCCTTTCCCTAATGTCCCTTGGTAAGATATTTCTATGAATAAATAATACTGAGACCAACTTGTGATCACGTGAGCCATGTTATATGTTAGTCTTAATTGATGTTTTTAGCACTGACCTAAAATAATCTTTCTTTCTTTAATGAGGAAGAAAGCTCAGATTCCAGATCTCAGTGATCAATTTAGGTGATCTTCTCTCTTTATGCCATCTTTTCTTTTTTTAGTTTTTTGAGACAGTCTCACTCTGTTGCCCAGGCTGAAGCGCAGTGCAATCACAGCTCACTGTGAGCCTTGACCTCCCCTGGCTCAGGTGATCTTCCCACCTCAGCCTCCTAAGTAGCTGGGTCTACAGGTGTGTGCCACCACAGCCAGCAAATTGTTGTATTTTTTGTAGAGATGGGGTTTTGCCATGTTGCCCAGGCTGTTCTCAAACTCCTGTCCCCAAGCAGTCCCTCCATCTTGGCCTCCCAAAGTGCTGGGATTACAGGCATGAGTCACCATGCCCAGCCTCTTTTTCTTTAAAGCTTTTGGTATGCCTGAAATTAAACTATAGCTTTAAAAAAATACCCAAAACAAAACCAGAAACCCCACAATGTGTTTTCCTGTTTAAATTATAATTTTATTTCCCTTTAAAAATTACCCTTGAATTTTTCATGAATCAACAAGAAAACAAACCTGAAAGCTCTCCCCTGTAAGAAGTCCTGTGGAGGACCAGAAAAGTACTGGACAGTCAGTGCTGCAGCTGAGAGCTGTGGGATACACAGATCCTTGTGGGCACTTGCAGGTCTGCCGGCAGCAAATACCAGTTAGGAAAACTGTTTCCCCCGCCCAACCCGGATTTATTAGTGCGTAGTCAGTTACACAGTATGTAAAGGGCCCAGTGGCTTCCTCCGAATGCTCATCAATGATCTGATGCTTACAAAGTTAGAAATGAGTCTCAGCTTTAAAACAGCACATGTTTTTCTTAGGGAAGTTCACCCTTATTTATACAAGGGTTAACTTAGGTGACTACATACAAAGTTTAGAGCAGGCATCCCCAAACTACGGCCTGCCGCATGCGGCCCCCTGAGGCCATTTATCCGGCCCCCCGCCGCACTTCAGGAAGGGGCACCTCTTTCATTGGTGGTCAGTGAGAGGAGCACAGTATGTGGCGGCCCTCCAACGGTCTGAGGGACAGTGAACTGGCCCCCTGTGTTAAAAGTTTGGGGACGCCTGGTTTAAAGTGATGTGTCTAGAATGAAGTCTCCATGGGCAAGTTGGAGGATGGGGGGAGCTGTACACATCTGCAGTCTACTTAGTGTAGATGCATTGTTCTAGTCCACACATTTGCTTCTTTGGTTATAATTTGTTGGTGGGAGATGCACATAAGAACTGGTCTGATTTATTTGAATATTTTTGGTAGTGTAATCTTAAGAGTCCAAGTTGGCTAGTAATGGCAATGTACCGGGATGAAAAAGTTAGGAAATGGATTATGGTATGTCAACCAAAAATCCTTTTCCCGTTCCTCTCCCGCCTTTTTTTTTTTTTTTTTTGAGACAAGGTCTTACTCTATCACCCGGACTAGAGTGCAGTGGGACAATCATGGCTCACTGGAGCCTTGGCCTCCCTGGACTCAAGTGATCCTCCCACCTCAGCCTCCTGAGTAGCTGGGAGTACAGGCACGTGTCACCATACCCAGCTATTTTTTTTTTGTAGAAACGGGTTTTCGCCCTGTTGCCCAGACTAATCTCAAAACTCTTGAGCTCAAGTGAGCCATCTGCCTTGGCCTCCCAAAGTGCTGGGATTACAGGCAGGGACCTCTGTGCCCAGCCCCCATTCCTTTTTGTGAAAGAACTCCAGTTTCTTTTCAGGTATTAAAAATCCTGGCCAGATGTGGTGGTTCATGCCTGTAATCCCAGCACTTTGGGAGGCCGAGACAAGAGGACTGCCTGAGCCCAGAAGTTCAAGACCAGTCTGGACAACATGGCAATA